CAACAGAGCACTTAGGGCCCAAGGTTATAGAACAGATTCAAACGAATCCATTAAAACAAAACCAAAAAAAGTCTCTAGTATCTCAGCTTCCTAAGAGATGACCCTGTCAGTGGAATTTGTTGTTACTGTTATCTGTTATATACTGGATGACTTTCTTTTTCCAAAATGGAACTACAATCTAGTCATGGAAACATGTTTTCGATGAGCTCAATACAGGTTAGCACTTGAGACAGCTGAGACATGTTTCCAGGTAAAATGGATGTGAATCCCTGGGTCCATGCCTGGTCAATATTAGATGCTCAACTATCAAGGAAGCATTTTTGATGGGTGGTCCTTAGTCTCCTATTTCCATTAAGGTGGGTGGCAGCTCTATATTTGATGATTCCTATAAGACCATGCATATTGATTGTGGGAATGTGTGTCTTTTTGCCCCCTCTGATTCTAGCTCACCTCTTCATCTGCATATGATTCCAGGGAAAATCTGTCAAAAGAGAACATCTAGCAGTTGAAACCTTATTCCTTGATTTCAAAACAAAAGGCCATGTTCTTTCCTCAAACGATTTCTATGTTGTCCATCTGGACAGTTACAAGCAATGCCTTCCCTTCCTGGGGGTTCACAATGTAAGCCTCCCACGTGACAGGGTTAATCCCTACGTGGTCTACCGGTAAAACGTCAAAAACTTACAACTGTCTTTGTCATAATGAAATGCAGTGAGAAATATTCAAAGGCTCAGAATGTCCACTTAGATGCCTTTTTGACTCTTGTCTCTCTCAATGCGAGAACAGGTGCAACATGACAAACAGTGTGAACCGACTCTCCTCTATCAAGCTGTGCACACTCAGTCCAGGACACATTTTGACACTTTCATATAAATAAACACACACACACACACAAAGGGGCTACAAAAGTTCATGGAAAAAGTAAAAGATAATAGAATTTTTCCATGAACTTTTATCCATATGTACATATTTTTTTTTACAACTTTGTGGTTTCTAAGTCAAGTCACAGATTTTAAGTACACATGAAGAGGGTAGCTTTAACGCACCATGTGGATCCCATGAGCTTAAGTCAGAATGAGTCCTGGACCCATCGCCTTCATTTCTGTTTCGGAGTCCAGTCTGAATCTCAACATTAGAATCTTACAGGCTTTGCGTTTCGATTCTAGGATTACACAGATAGCACTATGAAGGGAAACACTCGTCACTAATCCTCGAGGCTAACAATGGTTATTTAGAAAAAAGAACTGTAACTGACTTTTTAGGGAGGGTTGACTGATGACTCCGAGACATGAAACCTCCTGTTTTGGGCCAGAGCCAAGCTTTCTGGGGCTTTAATACAGAGGGACTGTGAAGTATAGGGGACAGCACTCAAGACACCTGAAGCAGTTTTACCCTGCTCTAGCCATGGGCTCTGTTCTCCCATTGGCCTCGGGAAATCTCTTTTACAAGGATTCTCTAGAGTAGACATAATCAATTTCAATTGTTGCATACGGTAAGATCTAATTTGAACTTATTGGTTTTGCTTTTACAATAGGGGCAATGCCAGCTGTAAACACTGGTAGTCTACTGCTCTGTCGAGTGATACTTTGTAAGGCTAAAGGGGTAGAGGAGAGGTTCTTCCCGCTGGAATACAGAGAGCATGCTTTGGGAATTGTTCACACCTGATGATGTTTTGTATGTAAACCTGAAAGGCACAAACATTATTCTAATTCAAGTTAATTAATAGTAACTTTGTGATCTTTCTCTGAAAGGCTTGGAGGTTTAGGAAGTTGCTGGATTGGGAAATGCATTTTTTAAAGGAAACAGCACAAGTAGTCCTTGGGTCACCAAGGTCTGGGTGTGCGTGCTCCTAGATGAGGTGATGTACCAGTGTGCAGTTAGAATAGGGGGAACCGAGCCAATGGGAAAGAGAGCAAAAAACTGTTAGAGCAAAACCCAGAAACTGAAAGTGTTCTTATTGCCGCCTGAACCCAATTTTCCCAGTATCTTAAGCTCCATGGACACAATGAAATATGAACTCACCAAATCGGAAAAGAACGTTTCCAGACCTGGGTGTGTGGAATGGCAGAAGCAACAGCAAAACGTAGAAATGCAGAATTTCAGAGAAGCAGGAAGCCTAAAGGGAGTCTAGCTTTGAATGTAACGGAACCTTGCCAAGAAACCTCCAAATATGCCAAGGTTGTAACCCAAAGACTCTCAGGGCCATCCCTGCTCTTTCTCAGGGCAAGTGTTTCCAAAATTCTAAAGACTTCGGACTGTTTATTGTCTGTTTCCTTTGATTGAATAGTAAGTAACGCATAAAATAGGCATTGCTTTGGCTCAAATTTACCACTGAAACACCCTCTTTTAAGCACATGTCTGGTGTTTTCAATAATCCATTGGTGTCAGCCAGCACCGCCCAATAAATGAACAGTACTTTTAGAAATAATGCATTTATTGTCCCTTTTCCTTTACAGATGGTAAGAACTAGGAGGGCAGCCCTGTGGGTTTTTAATCACTGGTGTAGTTCTTAGAGGCACTAGTAAGAGGCTATGTAACAGAATCCTGTTAATTTCTACTGAATGAATGCCTTCCCATGACCTCCAAGATCACCTGTATGCATAGACTAGGCAGTCAGGTACACTGCAGCTGAGGGTCAGTGAGAAGACCAGGAACCTAAGGGAAATTTATTGTGTCATCAATAAGATGACACAAATTCACTGGTTGTTTTGGGCTTTTTTGGGATCCTGTTGAGCAGGGCTTAGCTGGCAAATATCTTGTGGAAAGGGATGTTGATGTTGTTGTTAAGGGCCATCAGTCGGTTCTGACCCCTAGCGACCCTGTACAGGGTTTCCGAGGCTGTAAATCTTTACGGGAGCAGAAAGCCTCATCTTTCTCTCACGGAGCAGCTGGTAGTTTCGAACTGCTGACCTTGCGGTTCGCAGCCCGATTCGTAACCACTACGCTACCAGAGCTCCTTTTTACCATAAATATGAGGGTTTATTTCTGAACTCTCAATTATATTCCACGGATCTCTATGTAGGCCACGAGCAGACAGCCAGATCTTTCTCCCGCAGAACAGGTGGTAGGTTCTAACCACCAACTCTTCATCTAGCACTCAAATGCTTAAGCACTCTTTAAAGCCCCCGAAGAATTAAAACACAACCCAACAAAAACCTCACTTGTCTTGTTGACAGTCTAACTCCTTTCCTTTACTTGCCCTCACTTTGCCAAGATGAAAGAACAATTAATAGAACAGCTCCTCAGCCCAACACTCCAATCTGAAGTCTGGCAAACTATGATGATTCTGGTCAATGATTTCCTTACTGGCCAGTCATTTAAAAAATTAATTTTATCACTTACATAAATAAATACAGGAGCTTGCATCACTTTATCAATAACGCCACCAATACATATTTACATATAAAGTCAGGTGGTTACGAGATACAAAGCTCTTGCTCTGTTAAAATCTAAGTTTTTCAAGGGCTAATTGTTCTTGATTCGTAAGTGAAATCTGGGGTAAACCTATTTTTCTTTTCTCAACAAACAAACTCAATTTAAAGGTGTTTCCAATCAGATACATTAAAATTCTGATTTTTAATGATGTGCCCGTTGTCTGTATGAACAGCCTGCTATTCCAATTAAGTTCACATCTGTATCTTACATAGAAAAATATTAAACAGCTAAAAAAATAATTTTTGAGAAAATTCTTATTAAAAAAAAAAAAGTAATTTGTCATATAAGATAATAAGTAATTAAAAAAAAAAAAATTCCTTTCTATCCCAAAAAGTCACAACAAAAAAGTTTTAGTATGTTTTGGCTGATTTTTCTCTGCAACTATTTGAAGCTGTAAATGACTTAACTCAGTAAAATTCCAAATGTAATTATCTTCTGTACTTAGCCTAGGGCTCTCCATATATCTCCACATTGCTGTCTTGCATACGAAATAGGTTTTTCGATGGCTGGTAATAATATAATGTACAACATTGTTTTAATTTCCCCTAGTCTGCTAACCTCTTGCCTACACTAAACCAGCCACAGAAAGAAGCCATGTGAGTCATAAAGCACTCAAAAGCATTTTGGAACTCAGTTGCATTAAATGGGGTTTGCGGGGTCAGGCTTCTGCAATTGTACATTTTAATAATCTCCATTTCTGACCCAATTTTTACTTTTAGAAACTAATTTTCTACTAATTATACCAAGAATGGGACTATTGTTCCAATATGGCGGCGCATCAACAAATTACACCAGGAAGCTGAACCCACTTTAAGGGTCCCCCCCACATCCCTCACTAAGGGGATCCACAGGACAGTGTGCACAAGTTTTCTTTTCTCTTCGTCAGAAAGTACATTCAACAGTGTTCCATGTTTTTCCAAATGTGAGATTATACATCTACATAAAATAGGAATACTCATGTGTGTGGCCATGAATGAGCAGAGGGGCGCAAGCAACTCTCAAGAATTCTCACAGTCACTGAGAGAAGAGGGAATAGTGCCAAACGAGGAAGACATCCACGTATGACTTCCACTTTACCTCTGCAAAACACGCTCGTGTGTGTCGGCTGCATGCCAAGTTCTGTTTCCAGTCACTCTTCCTGGTTCTCATTCATTCACTCACCATCTCACTGCCCGCTCTCTCCTCCAAGTCCCACGTCATAACAGTAACTTAGAAGACTAACGCCACAAAAGACAGTCAGAAGGTACAAAGGAAAGGGAGAGAGGGGGCGACAGGGTGAAGGTAAAGTACTAACTGAGCGTTTGCCACAAACACACGTGCACAGCAAACTCTGAAACATCTAAAGCAAGCAGTTCCTTCTAGAAACATGAAGCCGGACTCGCCCACAGAGGCAAAACAAATCCTTATATAATCATTCAAGGACATTAAATAAAGGAAGGGAGGACAACAGTAGGCTCTGGGTCCTCGATTCAACAATGATTACACAGGAACCGGTTACACAGAACACTGTAGAAATGTAGGGTTCAGGAATACGGAGGCAATATTAGAAATAAATGTGGTTTTAC